ACAGCAAACAGGTCTTTCTTCTATAAATATGATATATTTTATCATATTTTAAATAGTTAACCTCAATAAATTAACTTTTAATGGAAATAAATGTCAATTCTTCCATTACTATTTTTATTACAAAAACATATGTACATGTATTACAACTTCATCGCCACATGTGGAAAGACATCAACCTATGGCATGCAGTTTCATTCTTAAAAACCTGCCGAAATGATGTTCTTTTCAGCATGTAACTAATCTTATTTAACCTCCAGCATGGATCAAACTTACACATACATCCGTCTGATATGCAAGAAAAAAAAACCATTTACATTGGATTAAACGATGCAAAAAAATCAGTTCAACATATAAAAATTTTGATCTTATTGCATTTCGAAACTTATCAATTTGCAACATCGTAAAATATAGTATTTTCTAGCCCATCTATTCATTAACATATATTGTTTGACAATTTTGTGATTAGGGTCGTTGACTTCAAACCATTTGCCCCTCACCGCTGTGGGTTCGAATCCCGACAGGTACTTTGGATTCTTTCATGTTAGGAAGCTGTCCTGAGCTAGCTTACGCAACGTTGGAGGTTCTTCTCAGGTGCTCGTTCGTGCCTGAAATAATGCACGGAAGGGCATCTGAGGTCTTCCTCCACCAGGTTAACTGGAACATTATATGCTAGAAAGATATGTGTAAACATTCATGAAGGAAGGAAAATAAATAAAGAACGTGTAAACATATTTGCTGTTTAATTTTTAAGCATTTTATAATTGAAATTATACTTATATTTTCATATTTTACAATTAGCGCATTGTCTATACAGCATTGACTCTGAAATTTGTTAAAAGATATATTTAAGTCTTTTAAGTAGTCAAAAATAAATTTATTTTAAGGTTTTTGCAGTATTCACCCACCCACTTAAAGTACACACTATCCCATAAAATGTAATTAAATAAAATTTTTAAATACATGTATTAGATTTTGAATTTTGCAAGAGCCACAGCCAAAATTCAATACTTTGACCATGATGGTTAAGGTCATTTAAAGGTCAAGGTAAGTTTAACCTTTTAGAATGTCTTGTCCAAAAGGTTGTTTCCCATTATTTAAATAACCAAGTTACAGCCAATTATTTGATAATATGTAAATATTCAATTATTTGACTTTCAAGGTCAATGTCATTCATGAGTTAAGGTCAATTTCAGTTTAATATACATAAAGGTCCTGATCTAAAAGTGTCTGAAAATAAAGGTTATAAATTTATAAATTATAACAAAGATATAGCTAGTTACAAAACCAAAAAGAAAATTCCATTAATTTAACATTGACAGTCATGGTCAGCTTAAGGTCAATGTCACATCGTATTGATCAAATAAATCTTTTGATAACAAAAGTGTTGTGTTCAAGTATAAATAAAATCCGTACATAAATAACAAAATTATGACAATTTAACCAAAATTTAATAATTTCACCTTCACAGTCAGGGCTATTTAAAATTCAAGGTCAATGTCAGTTCACCTTTTAAAAGGTCTTGTCAAAAATATTCTTTTGTCAATGTATGAAGATAATCCATTGTTTAGTTACCAAGTTGCAGTCAATTGTAGCAAAATCCGTGGAAATTCAATAATTTACCTTCAAGGTCAATGTCATAAAAAGCCAAGGTCAATTTAAATAAAATATACATGAAAGTATTATCCTAAAGAATGTTATGTAACATGAAGTAAATCCATTTATTATTAACAAAGTTATACCCAGTTACAACAAAAAATTGAAAATTTCTATAATTTGACCTTGAAGGTCAAGGTCATTTATAAGTGATGATCAAGGTTTGTCTGGTTAACTAGAAGGTCTATCCTAATAATATTATTATATTAAAGCTTGAAGACAATCCATTAAAAATACAAAGTTATTGTCACTTATGGCAAAAATCAGCAAAAAAAAAAAGCAAAATTTATACATTTGACCTTACAGATCAAGGTCATTTATGAATGAAGGTCAAGGTTAGTTTTGTCTGCTTAAAGGTCTTGCCCTAAAAGTTGTTGTTGCCAAGTATGAAGACAATAAAAAGTAATGGTTACGGTTAAAGTTTGCTGACGGCAAAGTCAACACCGACATGACTGTAACAATAGTTCTATTTTCTATTTATTATTTTTTTATTTTACCTAATTTTTTTATTATAATTTTTTGAGTCGAGCTTAACATATTTTTTCTTTAAAATCAGTTATTAGAAATCAATCTTTAATCAAATGGAGAGCAAAAATAAGAAATTGGCTCAAGTATTTTTATAAAACAGCATTTTCCGGATATTTTTCGTAATTATTTTCTAATTTTATCATTAAAAATTTAATTATATTAGAAATACATATTAACACTTCATTTTAGGAACTCAACAGGTACAAAAATAAAATAAATATTGATAAGTTTAAATTTAAATGCCAAAATTCAAGTAATATACAGTGTAACTTCTGAATACTGGAACTTCTAAAATCCGGAAACTTCTGAAATCCGAACATTTTTCAGGATCTCGAAATTTCTCCTTCTGTTTTCTATGTTATACATACCTCTGAATTCCGGAACCTCTAAATTCTGAATTCCGAACGATTTTCTGGTAAGATTTGGGCTATATCGATTCAAATTTACTTCCAAAATCCGGAAATTGAAAAAGGTGTGAAGGAATTTTATAATTGAGATTGTAAAACCTTCAAAATGTCAGTATCTTCCAATTAGCAGAAACTATTTATCTTGACACCTATTACAATTACAACTTGTCAAGCATGTAAAACACTTGATTTAAGTGTGAACAATAAAAAATGAGAAGTATGTTGTGATGAAAAACAAAAAATACAGGTTATTGATAGCTGGTATAACATGAAATTATGCTTTTGTATTAACATCTTTAGTTACAAGTGATAATGAAATTTAATATACAATGCAGTTGTAACTTTTTAATTTTCATCTTTTTTTCCATTGTATGAATTTAATGAGCTTTCTAAATTTTTCATAATGGCTTAAACAATTGGTGTTCAATGTTTCTACTTTTTCAGATAATTCCGAACTTTTGAATTCCGGAAACTTCCAAATACCGAACCTTTTGGCAAGTCTCACAGGTGTTCTGTTTTCTTAAGTTCTTAGTCCCCCAGCACTTTCCGGGAAAATGAGAAAATGAAATCCAATTTCGTAATCTAAGGACTAAAACGAACATTTTGGTATTATGATACCCCTTGTTTATGATCGGGGACCAGTTAGGTGTTCCTAAGCTTATCAAATTTGCAACATTTTATTATAACATTATTTTATATATATTAACATCTAGTCAGGAATGACCAGACACAAACATAAGAGAACTTTTATAAAAAGTCATATCATGACTTTGGATCTACGAATTTTTCCTTAAAGTTATAGTCATTCCAAATATTATTTATTTTCTATTGGACCGTCCTTAGGGTCATTTGTCTATTTGTATTTAAAGTTGTTTATGTAAAGAAGTATCTTTTTTGTTCTCCGTCTAATTTGCGATGCGGACATACAATGTTCATACACATGTATCTGTACTCACTGAGTAAACCAGTAGCACAAAAATGTGAAAATAACACAATAGATGTGCATACAGATACCTGGGGTTGTGGAAATCTATATTGGGAATAGGTTTTTAAAGGTACCATTAAATGTAACTTAAAATCAAATAAAGGAATTGAGTTAGCGCATACAACCTCTAAGGTCGTCAATATAAATATTTCAGGAAAGTTTTTGCTTTTGATAACGATAGGAGAGAATAATAACCTAGCTATCTTATAACATGCGAAACATATACTTATAAGTACAAAAAGCAAAAGAAAGAGTTTTATGTCAGGTTTTGAAAAATATATTGCAACGATGATGAAATTAAATAAAAACGTTTTTTTCCGAAAAAAAAAACGGTATATCTAACACTGGAAATGGATTAGTCCCTAATTTTGTCGTTTAAGTGCTTTGATGTGTTGTTTTCTGAATTCATGCTGCTCAAATAGGTATTGAAAGGCTAAAACGGTTTAGAGAAGTAATGATAAAATAACAAATAAAGTGAATTAATGCATGCAGCTAGGTCATAGAATTAGTCAGTGAAGGTTGGATTTTTAGGCATGATTGGCTTGGATTTTCAATGTTTAGGATTCCTCGTATTGATTTAGATCTATTATGCGGCACGCATATGGAGATACGTAAGGATTCCACAGCGAGATATTAAGGTTATGAGCGTATCATGTCACGATCTTATGATCTTTTTAGAACAAGCATCATATTCTCAAATCTGAGTTAGAACCAGTACGTTGGTAGACAAATGTGTTAAACAGTTGTAAGATAGCATTCAGTGAATCAAATTATTTAAGCTATCGAAGATAAAGTTATATCGATATTACAGGTGCTAAATTTCTGGTGAAATAATTTATTAGACTATGTAACACTACCTGAATGTCAACATCGCAATAGATGTGTGTTTCTTTCAGCAGGTCTGTTTCCTTTATTGACAGTAAAGATCAAGCCTTTGACAGCCTACTCAGGCTGATTAAGTTTAATCATCTTATCGCTCAAATACCTGAATATGGTAATCAAGTTGTTTAGTGTTAAATATCTAACTTTATCGGTTTATTCAGCATACCTAAAATATGTCTCAACATTAAGTAACAAATAGTACTACAAAATGCCTCAATCATCTTAAAGAGAGCTAGATTCTCGAGTCATGTTTTTCGCATTCAATGTAACCGTCATGTTACCGTTATGAGCCTTATACAAACTAATGAATATATGATTTACATAACATAGGTTTAATCTTTCTTAAGAGGAAATCTCGAATTCGTCTCTTAGGCTTACTATGATTTTGATCAGAAATCGTCCAAGGACAATGTCTTTCGAAATATTTTCCTACCGGCTCAGAAGGATTTCAATTAAAAGATCGTCACACTTACAGATAAGAACACGGATAAAGACTATATCTTCTATATACATACAACAACAAATTGAACAAAGTTTTCAATTACCTGTACTTGGTGCCTTGTTGTTAGTATTTGTGAAAGACCTCATTGAAGTTTCTAATCTTCTCAGCCTGGAATTCATTTTAGAAATTTCGAATTTATTTTCATATAAATCCTTCTTCATGAATTCCTGTAGCTCCTTGATACTTTTACAGTCACAATCAGAGTCACAATTAATGCCATTTACAAATATTGTAATAATAATAACAATAACTGCAAACTTTATTTTATCCATTTTCAATGCTTTCATTGACGAAACAACTTCATTCTAACTATATACTGCGCAGTATAAAATATCCGTGGTAAGCTCCAGAAGAAGTCTGCATTCCTAAGAAAATTTACCTGCATCGACTTTTATACAAGTGTATAAATAGCTTTGGAAGAATGTTTACACGTGTTTATCATCAAAACAAGATAACTGTTTTTTCTTATTTAAAAAGGATTTCCAGGATGCTGTAATAGCTTTCTCATGAAATATCAATCAATCTCCCGGATGCTATAATTCTTGTATACGTAAAGTTTACATGCTTATCAAAGGAATAAAAATAAACAAGAACCAGATGCTGATACCATTCAAACAATTACACTCTATATTATGTTGTATACGTTCCTTTCATATTTAAGTTTAATGTCTTCTTTATGAAAATCTACAGGCACATTATGCTTCATAAAAAACCCACATTTTTTATTTCTATTTTTTGTGTTTCTCAATAAACTTTATTTTTGATACAGTTTCCGAAAAATACTCATTTGTTGCAACTATCTTTTTCATCTTAAGTTATGTTGGCAATTGATATATTATTATATATATGGAAGTCAAGATACTATTTTGTTTTCAGTTTGCTACCTTGACAACAGATAACTTCACGTTCAACGCTACAGTTATCAGTTGTAAAAAATCTAAAATGCACTTAACCAATTATTTAAACATAATTAACCACATGTTTGACATTTCTAAAGAATGGGAAAGGGAAAATGTCTGAGGCATAATGTGCCTGATGAAATATTAAATATATGTATCAGAACACTCGAAGGATTAAAGTACATGATAAGATAAAACGAGAAAAGTATTTTTGCCGAGGCGAAAGTAGAGGTAGGCACTAAGTTGACAGTATGTATCATCACGGTGATTACTTTGCAATGGATCTGGCGTCTATATACCATTTTTATCTAAAAACTAAAAAAAATGGTCGAAAATGGTCGATATATGTCATATATCTTGCAAGAAAGCTCGGACAATACAGCGTTTACAGACATGTGCAATAAACATGATATCAATGAAAAAAATGTACCTAGTACCAATAGGCTATTATTCATGTGTCTCTGATGTTATTGTGTTGTATCAAAGGTAAAACTTAATAAATACGTATTTTGTCAAGATAATTGCCGATTTTTCAAATGTCCTGAGTTATAATTATCAGACATTATATTATGCAATATTTATTTTCATAAATTTAATATTAAGTCTTCTAAGAATACTTTTTACCAAAACAAAAATGCATCTGCTACAATTTGTCATTTGTGTTCCAATAAGTGATATAACCACATTCATAAAACAGGTTCTTTTAACACAAGAACGTATATTGTTTGGAATAAGTGTCCTCTTGCAAGAAAGAAAAAGGCAAAAATTCGGATAATGTGTGATCCCGCGGAAGAGTTAATCACAACAAATTTACATGAAAATTGCAGACACGGTTTTATTGAGTCTGCACGTAGGGGTAACATCCATTAAACACCCTTGCACCGGCTTGAGCGGTACCCATTCGTCAACTCATTAAAGCGTTAGAAACAATGATTCTGGAGGACCAGAAAAATATAACAACACTAAAGATAAGAACGGGACAACTTTTTACAGCAGCTTACAAAAGGTTCTTCATTAATGGGTTTGATTAAGAATTTGGGTTTTCATTATAAATACAACTTTTGTTGATTTTACCCTTATTTGACATGACAGTATTTTATCTGGTAGATCTCTATGTACTACCTGTCATGTACAATACAAAACCTGGCTTTTCATACAGCATTGCAAAGTTATAAGTGGCAGGTACTTTACACTTAATATCTGTCATACTGACTAGAAAACGTCAATGCGAGACATGGACAGAATGTCAAGCTAAGGAAAGTATATCAACCCGAAGAAGGGATTTCACCTGATGTCCAGTTGAGGATACAATATCACCAAAGAAAACAATTTCCTTACTGGAAGGATATGTGGGAGGCACTAGCATAAAACTATATATGTTGATGTGTGCAACTGAGTAAAAGTACAGTTTTTAAGTAATATGTCTTTGTTACACATAGTATTGAAAGTATTGTCCTTTGAAATTTGACTTTATATCTTTTTGTTACCAGAGCTTGTTAACGGTTATGGCTATCGGCAAATTTTTTGTAGATCTCAATTTGGACAATTCAATTTCTTATCTTTAAACAATATTTGAGCTTATACTTAACTGCGAATTATTTCTAAAGATATTTACACAAAGCTGCATTGTATTCAAAGCTATTTTCCTATTTCATTTGTATATTCTCAAATAAACAAGGTTAGGTAAAACATTTTCACACCTCGAAATAATTCACAACTTTTCGGCTCTTTCCGTCGGCCTTCGGATATGGACCTCGAACATAATAGTAAGAATACACAGAACGGATACGGTATTTTGGTCAAACCTACGCTAAGAAACCTAAACATGTAAACAAATTATAATTTAATGCTGCAGTTGTTGACAAGATTTTGTTTCAATATATCAAGTAAAATTTAACCTAATATAAGCAAATTTAAAGATATGAAAGTAAAGAAAACATTTAATTACATACTTTTGGGTGGTTTATAAAAATATATCAGTGATATAAAACTGGTAATTTCACTGTTTGAAACAGTGAAATTACCACTTTGATAATTTCACTGTTTTGAATTTAAGCCCCTTACGTTGTTTCAGTGAAATACCAGCGTGCACAGTACTCGGTACCAACTTAATGACGTGACGTCGTAAATGCCGTCACGTTGTATAATTTTTTGGCGCGCTTTTCATTCAGTATTAGGTTTAATGTCTTTTTAAAACGTTTCTTTGCATATAATAAAAATAAAATTTGTTTAGTTTAGTGTAAGATCGAAATATATTTCACCTTGTGAACACCAAAAGTTCAAATTTCACTCGTGGCTGCGCCACTCGTGAAATATACCTTTTGGTGCTTACTCGGTGAAATATATTCCGATCTTGCCCTGAACTAAACAAATATCCTCTATATTTCTATACATCGTACACATTATTATGGTTGTCGAAACAGAAAAACTGTACGACAAAATCTTTACGGTGGGGTCGATCATACCACGATTAAAATGCCCTTCTAGTACTATTTAGGCAATGATGTATATATCTTGGGTTTCAATCATTGTTTTCACTTCTTACCGAACTTCAAACATGACGTATTAATGCTTGTCTGAGTCATCTGGCGTTACTTCGGTAAGAACAAATGTTGGTTGAAATTTCACAGACCGTTAAAGGCCTAGGCGTATACGAAAAAATTATTAGGTGAAAATAATTGTTACCTTGTTGATAAAATGCTTTCTTATTCATACATTTCATATGGTTGTCTATTCATTTTGTTAAGTTGGTGTTTATAAATGTTTCAATTGACAGAAATACCATTAAAAACTTTTAATTCTTTGAAGTGCTTGATAAAGTCTGTAAGCCAGCATGTAAAAAGACTGTGACTTGCGAACACATCAAAACGTAAAATTTTCTGAATTTCAGTATTATTTTCTATTGTGGCATATTTCTGCTAAAAGTTAACCATGTATTTACTGCGTTAACTATTTGACCAAATAGTTAGTTGTCGTGTTTACCTTTCTGTTGAAAATGTGTCAATGTTAAATCGTATACATAAACATGCACAGTGCGTTAACTGGAATGCAGGTATTAGTTACCCGCACTCCAGAGCATGCCCATTGATTGGCTCATTTTTGAGGGGGTTTACTTATTACAGGGAACGTTTTTCTTTTATATTTGGCTATGATACAAAAGATAAAAAAAACATCAAAACACTCAGCAATCTGATTAATACTCGGGGGTTACGCCCCCTCGTACAAATCAAATAGCCTCGTGTTTCGATGCTCTTTCTATTACTTATCAGACTAGCTACATTTTTATCTGTTAGATAGATAAATAACAAATATTAAGTATTTAACGTCCAAAGAAAGCTACTAAAAAGTGCCCAGAACTGCCAGCACTTACCAGTAAAATAATAGATAATTACCTGTATATCTATAAAACTTTTGTGTTTGTTAACTTAAGTATCAGATAATTGTATCATAGTTTGGAGACCTTTCGGTTAAAAATGTGTCAGGGTTAAATTGTATACATATACATGCACAGTGCGTTAACTCGAGTGCGGGTATTAGTTACCCGCATCCCAGAGCATGCCCATTGATTGGCTCATTTTTGCTGGGGTTTACATATTGTGCCGGCAGAGAAAGGGAAAGCGACAGAAATGTCATATTCAGATGTTCGTTTATTGGTTCATTTTTGCCGCGTTTTCATATTGTGACAACAGGGAACGTGCTTTTATGTTTGACTATGATACAAAAGAGAAAGAACACCAAAACACTCGGCAATCTGATTAAAACTCGGGGGCTACGCCCCCTCGTACAAATCAGATAGCCTCGTGTTTCGGTGCTCTTTCTATTACTTATCTGTATAATAAGATATATTTTCAGTTAATAGATAATACAGAATGTTTCGGACATATATTACCTTTTATCAGTTCAAAGAAAATTTAACTAGTTATACAGAAGATTATCTAATATTTTTCTTACTAGGTAACTAGCTAATGGGAAAATTATGTAGATAGTTCGATACTTATCTAATATTTATCTTGTAACATAAGTTTGCTAGATAACAATTTATGTATCATTTAATAATACAAACGCAAGGAATACGTATGTCCAAAGTACTCCGCATTATCTATTATCTGTTATTTGAACATTAAACTAGTTATGCGCATAATTACCTGATATTTAAGCAGTGAACTATCTAACACAAAATGTTTGTAGATAATAATATAATTATTTGTTATTTAACTGGAACATGAAACTTTCTAGGTAACCACATAACGTGTTAGATAATAATAAGAAACGCAAGGGATACATATTTACTTAATAAACTGGTAAGTGTTGTCAGTTCTGTGCAATTTTTAGTGTTTTTTGAAGATGCATCCATCTAACGGGAAAAGTATCTAGTTAGTCTGATAAATATCTGTTATCTATCTTGTTTACATGAAAACTAACTAGTTAGTCAGGTAGTTAAAGCGATAATTATATGGTCAACTGATGGCAGAATTTTGCCACTATAATTTTCAGTCAATGTTAACACTATCATTAGTTTGGACGACCGGATTTTATAGCTTTTTTTAACAATAAAAATGCTTGCTGCTCTCAAAACGATTATGCAA